TTTCATTTTTGTTTGAAAAAATACGCCAACACAACCACTTGACAAAAAACATAAACTATAATAAAAATTAAAAAAACTTGAAACTAATTTTGTGTTTTTTTATTCAGTAAACACAAGCAACAACAGTGAGAAAACAAGTGATAAATAGGAGAGACAAAGTGGTAGGAAAAAATAGTGTTTGCATTAGAGAAAAGAAGGAGGATATAAGGAGGAGGTGAAAAAACACACACGACAATCATATAAAAAGATACACAATTCACTTTTCACAGACAGAACAGCCATCAGCAAAAGTATTCTATCTTAGTTGATCTTTTTGCTGCCGAAACTGTTGCTACCCTGAGCAGAGTTGGCGGAGTTGGTGGACTGCGGTTGCTGTTGCGTTTGCGACCGGTTCAGCAGGTAGGCACTCCAGATTTTGTACAGTCGGTAGGCGTAGAAGACCTGCATGAGGTGCACCTGGAGGGCGACCAGGGCGAAGGCCTGGAAGATGACGGCGATGGGCAGTTGGCGCCAGACGTAGCGCACCTTCTCAGTGTCGCGCTCCTGGAGGAAGGTGACAAAGTCGGGAAAGTACGCCGTCTGGGCGAGCAGAAGGGGCGTCAGGGAGAGGAGCCACGTGGCGATATGGTAGAGGTTGATAAGGCGGGCAGAGTTGGTGCGCATCGCCCGCAGCGCAAGCAGATTGCCGAAGAAGGAGAGGCCGTACAGCCACTCCCACAGGTCAGGCTTCGGAATCTCCAGCTCCTGCAGCTCGAGGATAAAGATGTCGGCCCGGTCCAGAAGGTCCTCAGAGAGCTTCAGCACGATGATAATGTAGAGGATCAGGTGCAGGTAAAAGGTGAGTTTCAGGTAGTACTTGGCGTCAGCGCTGGAAAAGGGTGAACAGGTGTAAATTTAAATAAACAAAAGACATAAACAGACAAACCCATACCTAGCCATGTGCGTGGAGACAACACGTTGACGGTGCTTAAAGTCAGTTCCATCAGTGCCAAGAGCGTATGAACCCTTTGATGCCATTACTGTCTGAGTGGTCAGGAAAAATAAAGCAGATCACCGGTACAAGTAGCGTGATGAATGATGCAGGTAAAAGAAGCGAAGAAAAATGGTAAAAAAAGTTCACATTAGAAAGGACGAGGTGGCACAAAAGTTGTCAACTGAAGTAGAGAGCATGTTTTTTGGTTGAAAAGTGTATCAATCATCAAGTGGCAATCATTGCTAATCTCCCTCTTTTTTTTCTTTCTCTTTTTCTCAATATCACTGGTTATGAAATCGTGGTTGTTTCTGCTGTCGTGGCAGTAATACAGTACAACTAGTCAAACAAAAGTTGTAAAAACTTGGTGAGTGTGAGAGAGAGAAACTATTCACAAATGGAGAGAAGAGAGTGCATTCTGTTTTGGCTGCATGAAAGTCAGGTGGAGAAGACAGCAGTGTGTGAGTAAGGTGAAGAATGTCACTCACCAGAATATGTGTTCGGAAAGAGAGGATGCTTTCTGGCCTGGGTGGATTGAATGCGTGGAATGAAGTGCCAGACTGCCGACAAAAAAGCACAGAGGAAGAAAGAAAGTGAAGAAGCGGCAAAGCAGCGGCAAAGCGAGCAAAGGACACGAGCTACTGCAAAAGAAAATGAAAAGTTTTAGCTTTTTCTGTGTTATGAACAGTTGGCCAAAATGATGATGATGATGGTAGACAGAAGGATAGGATGGGATAGAGGAGAGGAGAAAGCAACAAAAAACGGGAAAATGATAGCAACAGTGCGGGCAGTGTTATAAATAGACACCCGATTCTGCCAGCAAACTCGGCGGAACGTACAAAGGCACACTGAATTAGCGGACAAACAGAAAAAGAGAAAGTGTAAGGAATTGAAGAAATGGGAAAGTGAGCATCAGTGTCTAAGTGTGTTTGTTAGGGTGTACAGCAACACACAATTGAAAGCGGTGATCGCTTTTGTACAGCAAATACTTGGCAGTTGGAGAAAACTAGGAAAAGAATAGGGAAGCGGCAAATTGGTCTGTCGTCTTTACGGTCTGAACAACACTGACGAGACAAAACAAGAGAACTAAAACAGAGGAGCATTAACACACAAATACCGGTGATCACAAGAGACCATTGTGTGTTTGAGAAGACATCATTACCTGATTCACACCGGTCTTTACGGTCGGAAACAAACACTGATTGTCCGGTGACAAGTGAACAAGTGAGCTGCTGAACAGAAATCAACACGTTTTGGGTTTGCAGTGCCACCAACACATACACACACACGCAAGCACAAGGCAGTCTGCAGACGGCTACAGGCGGCTGCTCCTATGTGGTAGACTATCAACACACAACAGTGCGTGCACTCACTGCACCCTCTATGAGCTGCTTTGGGCAGTTCGTAAAGAGTGTACTGCGGTGTTTTAAAGAAAGAAGGGGCAGTGGTGATGGGCACTGGGGGACAGGGAAAAGTGTTCAGCGCTAATGAAACTAGAAAAAAGATAATAGAGGAAAAACTTTGTCCTTTTAAAAAAAGTATTTAGGTAAAGGACTACACTCTTCCTCGCTTTTCTATGTGCATGTGCTTTGTGAATGATTCTGCCGCCGTTCTCACCAGATTTTCAAATCTTTATATTTTAACATAACCTTATTCTTGCTGAGCGTTTATTTTTAGAGCTTTTAGCTGCGTTGTTATTAGTAGGGCGTGTACGGTTGCAGTGTTTAGCCGGTAACCTGTTTGCAAAACAAAATTTTGAAAAACTAACTTAATTGTACTGTTTAGTTAACGATGAATCTTCTTGAACTTCCAGATCTTTGCATTTTATCTATTTTTGATTGTTTATCTATTGACCATCTTTTGCAAGTTAATCTGGTTTGTAAACGATTTGAAACACTGTACAAACCCGCTTTACATAGTCGTCACCACTTAGTGCTGATTCCAACTTTCATCTCAACAAAAATCTCTTTTGAAGAAATACTTGAAAGTTTTAAATACTCCCAGTACAGTTTACCACTTTTTGACCACGTATCAGATGATGAAGAGCAACCGTTTCGCAAAACCAACCGCCTATTGACAAACTCTGTTCTCAAATGTCCTGAACTAACTTTGACCATTACAGAGAAGATTGTTGAGCTGTTTCCAAATTTAAACTCCCTGCTGATCTTCCAGCGTTGTGCATGGCAGTACGACCTTCGTTGGACAACTTTCTTGCTAAATCACTGGAAAAACTTGGTGCATCTTAAGCTTTGGTTTTGGTCGTACGAATATGAAGGCTACGAGGAGGGTTTTGAGTCGTGGAGTCTGAAGCAGTACTTTGAGCTGCTTTTCAAATCAATAAACAGTCTTCAGCTGTTGAAAACGCTTGACCTAAACCTTGAAGTGCCCTTCTACTCCTCAGACAAGTTGAGCATTGACCTGCCCGTGATTGGCCAACTGGAGAAGTTCACTTTTCGCTCCGTTGGCTTTGAGCGACCGGGAAGCAGCGACGTGAACCTGCCCCTTGACAGTCTAATGACCTACGGAGAAACTAATGGCAACCTTAAGGAGATCATTCTACAGAACTACCCTTCAATGGAGAAGCTTCTTCAGCTGACTCCTCCATTCGCTCGCCGTTTCACTGAACTTCACCTCGACGATGAGCTCAACTCGGTGAACGTGGCCGACTTTGATCGATTCTGTCTCCACTTTAAATCACTTCGGGTGCTCTCCTTTCGCGTGGGAAACCTCTCCTTAGCAGAAGTGTGCTACCCCTTGCTGGACCTTCCCGTCCTCTGTCATCTCAGCTTAGTGCTGAACACTGATGCCTCCTCACTAAACGGTGCCGCACTAAAACGCAATGAACTTCCACTGGAGATGCTGCCCCAGTTGTCTTCAGTGAAGGCGTTGACGCTCTTTCTGAACACCAGCTCCCACGATGATATTGCCTCGCTAAGCCTGCACATTCTTTTCCCTCAAGTGCAGGTCATCCTACTTAGTCATGGATCACTTCGATGTACTGAATGTGGCTACAATTTGAACATCGAGGAGATCACCCCGCAGATGGGCGAGCAGTGCATGCGACAGGGCTGGCAGGCGCTAAAAAAGTGCACTAAACTTAAGAAAGTGACCACTAACTTGAATCCCATTTCAGGAAAGGATTCTCAGCAGGATTTTGATCCGGATGAGTTGTGAGAAAGTTTTTAAAACTTAATTTAATACAGCAACTCAGATTTTAGGAACATCATGAAACCACAATTTATTGCCTTCAGCAAACAAATCACATTGTTTTTGGTGTTTAGATTAACAGAGAAAGTATAGAAAAAAAGTAACAAAAACACTGATTATACAAAAATAAAACTGACTATTGTTAAATACTCCTTTCAGTGAAAGGGAGACAGATCTGAGAAACTCACAGAGATGAAATACAGTTTTGTTGAAATACTGCTGCTACTAAACCGATTCAGGCTTAGCTCGCTTGCGGTGCAAATCTTCCATCGGGTAGGACTCATCCAGAGATTCATTATCGTCGTCTTTTTCGACCAGAGAAGAAGAAGAAGATTGAGACAAGAGGGGCTCCTGTTTGGCGTTTGTCACCTGCTGGTGCTGGTGGGCGGACTTGATCTCCAGCTGCTTGACGCGGGCGTAGGCGGCCGAGGCGACCAGCACCACCACATTGCTCAGCCACCAGCTGAAGGTTTTCGTCTCGGCGTAGAAGTGGGTGGCCAGCACAGTCTGGGCGCAGGCCTTCGCCGTGCCGCTGATGTTGTGCGTCAACGGACTGGTGTACTTGATCTGCAGGCTGGTGACGTAGCCAATGGCGAAGCCCATCACTCCCGAGGCGACCATCAGCGACCAGAAGAGGAGGCTGCCCAGCTGAAGTGAGGAGCTGGTAAGGAGAGTGCCCACCTCGCCGGTGATCAGAATGAGCGGGAGAAAGAGGACGCAGGCGATGAGGTTGTTGTAGAAGGTGAGCAGCCAGATGCTGTTGCCAACTGCGGCCAGGGCGTTCACCGTGATGATCGAGTTGAGGGAGACGNCAGGGCGTTCACCGTGATGATCGAGTTGAGGGAGACGAAGAAGGAGGCGAGCACGCCGAAGAGAACTCCCGACACGGACAGCGTGCCCACTAGCTGCTCCTGGTCGACGCCGAGCAGGAAGCCGCCGACAATTGCCAGGCAGCAGAAGATGGCCGAGAAGGAGGTTGTCCGGCCGAGAATGAAGTAGGTGAGCGCCACGTTGAAGACAGTGGTCAGCGAGCGGCCGATGAAGTAGAAGGCGACGCCGACGTTCTTCAGGCAAAGGTTGTTGAAGGAGATCATCCCCACAAAGACCACCGTCAGCGGAAGGACCTGACGGACCGTTTTGAGGCGCAGGTGGAGCTTGGGGAAAGCTGAAGAAATTTGGTTGTGCTGAAGGACAGTACCATTTTTGGAACGGCGGCTGTTGTCGCTCATGTTCATGAGAGCACTGCCGATGATGGTGATCAGCAGTGTGACCAGGCACTGGAACCAGGTGATGAAGAGTGGGGCGTCCAGGCTGAAACTCGATCCGCTGAGAATCTGTTTGTTGAGGAAGACCATAGTGATGGAGACGAACCAGTACAGGGCTACGATGGCGGTAATCTTTACGTACTTTAGCAGCAGCGTGTCCTTGCTCTCTGCGCTCTGGGTCAACGGCTTTTTGTCTTGTTTAGGCATTTTGCCCTCTTTTTTTCAACGATAAACGGCGGTGGGTTTGTGTTTAAAGTGTTCAAATCTAAAAGTAAAATAAAAAAATCAATCAGTGCTTTTGAGTTATCATAGAAAACTGAGATGATTTTACCTTCTGTTAAAGTGTCGAGNAGCAACGTGTCCTTGCTCTCTGCGCCCTGGGTCAACGGTTTCTTGTCTTGTTTAGACATTTTGCTCTTTTTTAACGATAAACGGCGGTGAGTTTGAGCTTAAAGTGTTCAAATCTAAAAGTAAAAAAGCAATCAATGCATTTGAGTAATCATAGAAAACTGAGATGATTTTACCTTCTGCTAAAGTGTCGAGCTCAATGTCAAACACGTGAGATTGATGTGAGCTACCGCTAGGAAAATGAAAAAAGGGGAAAGAAAACACACAAAGACGGGCGAACTGTCAGTCAGTAAACACACAGAAACACACATACACACTGCACAGGCGGCCGACAGAGAAGCGGGAGCGTGAAAATAGCCACTGCCAGCAGTAGCAGCATCAGTTTATGCGTACTGCTGCAGTAGAAATAGTGGACGCTGTGGAAAGAGAGCGAGAGAGAAATGCTGCGGCAAAACTGCTGCTGCCGCTGCCGCTGCTGCTGACTTGGCTAGTCGGCACAACTTGTCGTGTTGTCGCTCTCTCAGTGTCAGTGCTCAGCACACACCGAGATTGTGTTTGCCAGCAGTCTCAAGTGGCAGACTTTATTGACTTCGTTTTCACGTCACTTTTCGCAGTACCTTCAAATCCATCCTTCTCTCTCTCTTGTCTGCCAGTGGACTACAGCACGGCCACTGTACAGCACTGGCATTGGCACTGGGCGTCTGTGCACAGTTTCTGATTACACTCAGTCTGCACACCGCTGGTCATGTCAATTGTTGGTCATCAACACCTCTTGACATCTTCTCCTCTCTTTCTCATCTTTTCTTCAACAAAACTTTAATTGTTTTAGATGGAAGAGTGTAGCCTTGCAGCCCTGAAACGTGGCCTGTGTTGATGTGGCTTACTGACTGACTGACTGATCAGGTCACTTACTACTTTACTGCGGCTCGTCAATGCAGCAGCTTCAATATTAGCTTAGCACACACACACTAACAGAAGTAAGTAAGTGGACACACTTGTGTTTAATCTTGTACAACTCTTTGCTATCACACCTGTCACTATCACACATGACTTTCTCTGTGCACTTTGCTGACAACTTAGCACTCATGCTCATGCTCTTTCNTGTGGCTTACTGACTGACTGACTGATCAGGTCACTTACTACTTTACTGCGGCTCGTCAATGCAGCAGCTTCAATATTAGCTTAGCACACACACTAACAGAAGTAAGTAAGTGGACACACTTGTGTTTAATCTTGTACAACTCATTGCTATCACACCTGTCACTATCACACATGACTTTCTCTGTGCACTCTGCTGACAACTTAGCACTCATGCTCATGCTCTTTCCTTTTCGTTGACAAAACAAAACACCTCGCTTTTTAATTTGTTTTATTTAACTTTTCAAAACAGTGCACAACATTTTAAACTAACAAAATGTGCACTTTAATTAAATGTACTATTGTTTGCTGGCTACCAGCACAACTTTTCTTATCAACAACCTGCAGTTTCTGTTTTTAGGCTACACTAAATCACTAGCAGGTGGCACAACATCAGCAGCATCAACAACAACAACCGCAACAGCCAAACAGTGTTTCAGTTTTGCAGTATAATTTGCATTTTCTGGTCGTCACCCGCTTGCATCAGCCCATTAATAGTAGTAGCTGCTGTTGCTGTTGCCAGTAGTGCACTAATCACCGCTGCCATGCTAGTATTACGTGTAGCTTCATTACGATTTCTTTCTTTTTCTGATTTTTTTCTTCTTTTTTTCTCTAATCGACCGTCTTTTGCCTGCCGCAAAGCGACTACCGGTGCCGGTGAGTGAGAACGACTACGGGTACCTGAACTGAACAGAGTGAAACACACACTTCTGATCATATCTGCCTGTGTGTGTGTCGGCCAATCACTGNCTTTCTTTTTCTGATTTTTTTCTTCTTTTTTTCTCTAATCGACCGTCTTTTGCCTGCCGCAAAGCGACTACCGGTGCCGGTGAGTGAGAACGACTACGGGTACCTGAACTGAACAGAGTGAAACACACACTTCTGATCATATCTGCCTGTGTGTGTGTGATCGGCCAATCACTATTGCTGCGGCACTGTCCGATCTCCTGCAATCGCTTTGAAAGTTCTAATGAGTCTGCTGTTGAATAAACGGTAGTGGTTTGCTGTGATGTGTTGTGTGTCTATTGTGCCAATCACATCATCATCACACCATCACAGTTTGTGGTTTGTGTTATTTTTTGCCAGCAACAACAACAGCAGTAGGCTTTCTTCTTACTAAAGCATTCATTTGATGTGTCATTGCTCCCTCCCTTCCTCACTCACTCACTCACTCACTCACTCTCTGCGGTAGTTTTTCTTTATGACTCTTCTTTTTTTAATATTCAATACATTTTTTTCTCATTTTTAGTGGTGGGCCATTATTGTGCATGGTCGCCTTTTACATGTGTGTAAATTATTATCGGCATTATTTGTCAAACCTGTTTATTTCATATTTTTTGTAGCTGCATAACTTTAACTAATCGCATTTATTAATTTTTTTGTAGATTATTTTTACTGCACCGTTTCAAACTTATCTGTGAATGCCCAACTCTAAACTGAAAATTATACTTACACTTACGCTTCAGTTGAAAAGACTTAGAAATCGGTCCTTCCACGCTCAAACTTAAATTTTTAAATAATGAAAAAGTTTACTTAACCGGTGATTCGTTTTGACTGTGTGTACAACAAAAAAGAGGAAGCTTACTACTACTAAATTTGCCCACATTGAATTCAACTCACTGAAACAAAACCACAACAATAAAACAAAAAGATGCCGTCCCACGTGATTCGCCTGCTGAAGCGGAAGCTGCTCAAAGATCCGCTCACCTTTGCCATCCTCGTGCTGCTGCTCTTCATTGGCCTGCTCTTCTACATGATGCCCAATCCACAGGTGGTCGATCTGCCCAACGATAGTGGTGGCGGTAATAGAAGACACGACTCTGGCGCAGTGAAAAGGCCCGGCAATGGCCGACTGGATTCACTGCAGTCAGTGATTGACAGTCCGAACATGGCGCCCAATGCAGGCTATGCCTCCTCGGCCATCGCCTCGGCGCCCAAGCCCAAGTACCGCGACGACGGCTCGCTGGGCAACTACGAGGTGAAGGACCCTTGGAAGCCGGCCAAACCGCGCCCCGGTGACTACGGCAAGAAGTACAGCCTGGACAGTGCCGAGGACGTGGACCAGAATGAGGTGTCGGTGAAGAAGTCCGAGTACGGCATGAACATCGTCGCCTCCGACCACATTCCCATGGACCGCATTGTGCCCGACCTGCGCCACCCGGAGTGCAAGCACTGGGACTACCCGGAGCAGCTGCCCACCGCCTCGGTGGTGATCGTCTTCCACAATGAGGGCTTCAGTACGCTGCTGCGGACGGTGCACTCGGTGCTGATTCGCTCGCCGCAACGCTTTCTCCGAGAAGTCCTCCTCGTCGATGACTTCAGCAATAAGGAGCCGCTGAAAGGTTTGCAAAAAATATTTTAAGTATTAATTATATTTTATTCACACCTTTTTTACCTTTTTTTGCAGCCCAACTGGACGACTACATAATGGAGCACTTTGGCGTCTTCAACACCCACTTTTCTCCCTCCACTGGGCCTGAATCGCTGGAAGGCGAAGTTCTAGCCACCAAATCAGGCAAAGTGCGCGTCGTCCGCAATCAGGAGCGCTCAGGGCTGATTCGCAGTCGCGCCAGGGGCGCCAAGGAGGCCCTCGGTGAGGTGGTCGTCTTCCTCGATGCCCACTGCGAGGTCAATCTCAACTGGCTGGTGCCCCTGCTGGCGCCCATTGCGGTAAACAACAAGACGATGACGGTTCCTGTGATCGACGGCATCGACTCGAATCACTTCGAGTACCGACCAGTCTACCAGAACGACCAGCACTTTGTGGGCATCTGGGAGTGGGGCATGCTGTACAAGGAGATGCACCTCGACCTGAATGAGCACCTGAAGCAGCACCGCTTCAGCGAGCCGTACGAGTCGCCGACGCACGCCGGCGGCCTGCTCGCCATCACCAAGAAGTTCTTCTTTGAGCTAGGGGGCTACGACGAGGGTTTGCTCGTCTGGGGCGGCGAGAACTTTGAGCTGAGTTTCAAGGTGTGGCAGTGCGGCGGCCGCCTCCTCTGGGTGCCCTGCTCTCGGGTGGGCCACATCTACCGACCGTTTATGCCGTACAGCTTCGGCTCGCTGGCCTCCAAGCGGAAGGGCCCTCTGGTGCTGACCAACTACAAGCGCGTGGTGGAAGTGTGGTTCGATGAGGAGTACAAGAACTACTTCTACTCCAGGGAGCCGATGGCGGCTTTCTACGACTCGGGTGATATTTCCAAGCAGTTGAGAATGAAGGTAAGTTGTTTTTCTTTTGGTTTGGTTTGGTTTGGTTTGGTTTGGTTTGGTTTGGTTTGGTTTGGTTTAGCATCTGAATGATAAACATTACTTATTTTTTACTTTCTTCGTTTCCACCAACCATTTAGGAAAACCTGCAGTGCAAATCATTTGACTGGTTTGTGAAAAACCACGCCAAATCGGTCTTCAAAGACTTTCCTCGCCTTCCGCCCAATGTTGCCTGGGGTGAGGTGCACAGCGCCAAGTTGAAGCACATGTGCCTGGACTCCACCGGCGCCCACCCTCCCGCCACCATAATGATGTCCACCTGTCATGGCCACGGTGGCAATCAACTCTTCAGACTCAATGCCAAAGGTCAACTGGGCCTGGGGGAACGGTGTATAGACGGCAATTCGAATGGCTTGAAGGTGCACTACTGCAAACTGGGCACCGTTGACGGGCCGTGGTCCTACAAAGAGGTACTTTTTAAGGCAAATGATTTATTTTTTATATGACTTTACTAACTTTTATTTTGGTTTGTTTTGTTTTTAGTCAACCAAACAAATCATTCACAAGGGACGGTTATGTTTGACGTACAGCGACAACTCTGTCACTCTTGAAAACTGTGAAGCAGATGCGCCTCTGACGCAGCAGTGGACTTTTAAACAAATAAAACCGCGTCTTTAAATGCACAAAAAATATGTCACCTGTTTTTCATCACTGTCATCGCTTCTGATCAACTATCCATCATACTATTCATCATTATCAACAACCCACACATTCACACTTTCTCGTGATACGCATTCCATTGTTTTATTTTTCACTCACCTCGACTGAAACATAAAAGATCTATGCCATTTATAATTTTTAATGTATTTTATAAAAGTATTTATTGTTTTATCCTTTCCAGTAAAATTTTCAAAATAATTTTTATACATAGGTCATGAAATAAATGCATAAATTTTTTAAATATAAAGAGTGATCACAAGACTCGCCCCAATTTTTTCCCTATTTAAACTATGACAAGTTATACCTTTTTGAAAAGGTAATTTTAAACTAATACAACATAAAAAAATATTAAATTGAGAAACCTTACAGTTTTTGAGAAAATCGGGTCCAAAGTTTTCAAAAATGCATTGCTTTCAATGAAACAAAAAAATCCGCTAAAATGATCTAATAGAGGACGACACCATCCACAGCTGACTGATGCAGCGAAATAGTAAATGCATAAAAAATGGAAACTTTAGGCCCGATTTTTTCAAAAACTGTAAAGTTTCTCAATTTAATATTTTTTTTATGTTGTATTAGTTTAAAATTACCTTTTCAAAAAGGTATAACTTGTTGTTGTTTGAATAAGGAAAAAATTGGGGCGAAGCTCTATGAGCAGCTGTAATCACTCTTTTTATTTTAATTTATATTTTTACATAGAAACAATGAACTTAGACAAAATAATTCTGTTAACTATTTAGTAACTATGAAGTAAATTTTATTTGCGTTGGTTTTTGCAAATAAACATAAAATACGCCAAACCATACGAGAGAATCTGGATTAATGATAACAAAAAGTGTGATTTGTTAATTAACTGCAAAGACATCAAACTTTCTATTTATCTTACTAAATTGTATGTTTGTGAATTGATGCTAAACACGTTGAATAATTTGAAACATTACCAGCTTAAATTTTGAAAACTTTTTTTAAACATTAAAACCTGGCACTAAAAAATCAATAATTTAATAAAACAATCTAAATTTAAACAATATTTATATTTTTTATCTCACTGCCAGACTTATTTGTTTGAACAATTCCTAAACAACCTTCCGAATTTCTAAACTTTTCTAAAATTTTTCTGGCAGTTACTTTAATATTTTCATTCAAACGACCCACAACAGTAGCTACATTGCAAAAGTAAAAAAGGGCAACGTTGCATTGACCAATTGCCATGTAAAAAATAATTTTTGAAACAAGTGACAAACCCAATCCTTGAAAAGAAATGACATACAAAAGATAGCATTGTACAAGAATATAGTAAGGAAAAAGAGCGGAAAACAGTGGCTAACAAAAACGATTGTACTCTGCAATAAGGTGACAAATAAAAAAAGTTTTGTTTTGTAAAGTTTGAAATTTTGCAACAATGCAACCCCATTTGGTGGTTTAAAAATGCTGTTTAAGTAACAGTTTTCTGACTTGTCTTACATTTTAGGTTTATGTTTTTGTTTTCCAGAATGAGATATTTTTTCAGAAAATTTTTTTGTAACGCGCAAATGTACCGACAAGCAAATACAATAAACAAACCGGCTCTAAAAAAAGCTGTGTGAAAAAAAACAATAAAATTAGACATTTTAAATAAAATTGCTAATTATTATTGTAAAGTTTACCATAAATCATGTAAAACATTAAAAGGAGAAAAAAACCAAAAAAGCTGAAAAAATGTTCAATTTATATTGCTTATTGACCAGTAAATTTGCGTAATTGTAAACAAAAAGACCAAATAGAAAAAAACGCTAGCCCAATTTGACTAAACCCTTTAACTTTTTTCTGAAAAGTTTGCATTTCTCTATTGATGTCATTGCTGAGTTTTTGAAACAACAAAAATTATTTATCTTTTAAATGAATCAAAAATACTTACTTTTGTCGTTTAAAAACACCTGAACCTTTTTATCGCTAGTTTGCACAGCTGTCAATTGATATTTTTGTTTAATCGGTGCAGTCACAATTAGGGCCCAGAAAACCGCAAGAGAAATGATCACATCAAAGCCAAGTGCGACATCCATCTGCTGCAAAATGGCCGGTAAATGAATTTGATGGGTAAATATCACTGAGCTGTTGACCAGTGACGACCAGCTACAACCTAAATCTGCTTGCATTTGCATGCCAAACGTTCCCAGAAGCGAACTGATTAGTACAACTACTAGTGGAAAAAGAAACTGCTTGTTTTAGAATTTGATTTTATGCAGGTTTTGATATTGGTCATTTTTTTATTTGTTTGTTACAATTGAATCACATTGATTGTGCAACGCAAAAACATGCTGTTTGACAACAATGCTGAAATGTTTAAAATATGATTTTAATTTTTTACAATTTTTTAACGCCAAACAATAATTGAAAATAAAAATTTAAAAAATATAAAACAATTACTTTGATTGACTTAAAACTGTAATTTTTTTAACAAACAAATACTAAAAAATTAAATTTTGAGTTTTATTGTTTTGAAATATTGCTAAATATTTTTGAACAAATTTTAATTTTTAAGTTATTTACTGGGTGATTTAATGATAAATATTTTAATCTAGTTTTATTTTTTGTAATATGTTTAATAATTATTATAATTATTATAATTCATGTTTTTACACAACAATTAAAACTTTTAGGATTTAACAAAATTATCAACATAAAAATACATTGTTTTTTACATTTTTAATCGTTTTTAGTAAAGATAACAGAGAAAAAGTAATTTTTCTATTTCATCAAACAAAAGTAGTTTTGTTAAATTATCATGAAGCCACCCGGTAAACAAAAATATAAAATTTAATGGCGTTTATTTGCAAACACATTTTGATAAATTATGTGTTTTGCACCAAAAATCAATTAATATTTAAATGCAACTTTTTGAAACTTTGTTTTGATTTTGTTTGTTTTTTTAAAAATTGATTTTTAAAAAAGTCAAGTATTTTGTATAATTTTTAAATTTTGATTTTTTAAGTGACAAATTATTTTTTGTTTAGACAAAATAAATAAATTATAAAATAAAAAATTAAAATGACAAAAAATAGAAAAAAGTAAAAATACAGTTGTTAGAAGAAGCATGTTGCTTTGTTTAGGGTTCACTAACAAATTGTCTCAATGAACCATTGGTGGTCACAAGGACATTAACAAGCAAGGTGCTAAAAAACTTTGATCTTTAATTGTCTCCGCTTTAGATTTGTATTTTAGTTTGTTTAACGATAGTAATGACCCTTGTCTGCCAAACATTAGACAAACTCTACACATTTATTACACAGTTAGTACACCTAAAGTGCTTTTGACTGGTGAATTTTGTCTAAATCACTTGAACTTGTAAAATGAAAGTATTAAGGTTCACAAACTTGAACAAAACAGAAAGTGGAAAACAACACTTTGTGTGTGGCCTAAAAACAACTGTTAACCAAATGTGCGACCATCAATATCATTCATTTGTATTTACAAAAATACATTGCCTTTTCAATAATTATTTGATGTTTTTATGCAAATAATGAATTTGTGCCACAAAACATGATGAACGAAAATGCTTTGTTTGGAGTCAGAATTAATGATTGCATTTGTTGTTTGTAACGTTACTGTTAAATCATTGCGCATCTGGAACTTGTCTTTTTTCAGTAAAAATTCATAAATTAACCACATTTTACCAAACATTTATACATATTGGCCTAATTTTTGTTTGATTTTGTTAAAAAATACAAAAAAGTTTCAAATTGAGATATTGAAAAGAATTCAGTATTCAGTTTGAGTGGTGCAAACAGAGTTCTCATCCTGGCAGTGGTTTCAAATTTCTGTTAATGCAAGTTTAAGCTTTCAAATGATGATGCATAAATTAACGTTTGTTATTAAGGGTGACATGCCAAAGCAGTGCGCAAATGGAGGCAAGAGGGACTTTTGATGCCCTGCTTGTCAGAGGCAAAAAGAGAGTGCCATTGGAGACGGCAAATCCTGCCTCTATCACAGTTCACACTAATCTACTCATTAAGCTCAGTACCCCATGCACGTTTGCTTAATTTTAAGTTTTTGTTTTATTTCTTTTTTCTTCAAACACTGAAAGTCAGTAAATCAATGAGTGAGAGCATAAGTGCCTCTGGCGTACTGCTTTTTTTCCTTTTTCTTCTTTTTTTCAATTACACCGAGCGTCAGCCCGGTGCGAAGGTCCAGTTACACACAAAATTTTTGGCACACATACTCAGAAGATATTTTTGAATTTTTCGTTCTAAGTAGAATTTTTTGTTTGTGGATTTTATCTAATCTTTTTCAAATTTGTTTAATATTAATTTTCAATTTATTTTTTGTGTTAGATAAGACATTTTTTCAAAAAGGCAGTTTACCGAAAAATAAAATAAACTTAGTCTACTAATACCGAGTTTTGGTGATAAGTCCATTTCAACAAAATGACTTTTTTAAAATTATCAAATGTAAAATCCACAAACGAAAAATTTTACTTATTACGAAAAATTCCAAAATATCTTTTGAGTATGTGTGCTAAAAATCTCGTGTGTAACTGGACCTTTGCACCGGGCTGACGCCCGGTGTTAATGATGCACTTTTCGTCTAGAAAGTATTGTGAGTGTTGCAGTGAATGACAACATTGTCACTACTGACGCAGGCACACATGACAGTTGTCTTCAGTTGTTTGATTTTTTACGAGTTTTGTTTTTACTTATTGTTTTTTCTCACCATTTCACAAACAGGCATTAGTGTCATCCTGTTATGTCCTTTTATGGTCTTCCGCTCATCAAACTAAATCTGTTGCCTTTTGATCCATTTTTTAGTTTATCGTTTTTCTTTTCTAATCACTTGCGCCTACTCAGTCTAGAATAAAAAATAATTTTTTGTTTTGTAACACATAATATCCAAATGCAAATTTTGAAAAACATTTTTTTGCTGAGGACGCCCTACTGTTATTTACAACAACAAAAATTAGTGAACACACATTGTGACTACTG